GTAATATATGAGGATACACCTTCAGATACAATTAATGTTTCTTCAGGTGTTCCGCAAGGTAGTCATCTTGGCCCGATTCAATTATTGTTGTTTATTAACGATCAGTAATAGAATTCTCAAAAATTTTATTATACGCTGACGACGTAAAGCTTTATAAATCATACACTTCAACTGAAGAAAGGTGTCTGTTGCAAACAGACTTAAACAATTTGGTTGCATGGTGTGATAGAAATGATTTGCCATTGAATCTCAATAAATGTAAGATGATGTGCTTTTCCCGTAGATCTGTGCACCACTCTTCTTATGTAATAAAACCCCATATTCTAGAGCAAGTTTTTAACTATGTTGATTTGGGAGTTAATATGGACCCTAAGCTTAATTTCAGTCTTCATATTGATACCATGGTCTTGAAAGCAAAAGCTGTCCTCAGTTTTGTTAAACGTTGGTCCAAAGAATTTAGAGATCCGTATATTACAGTTTATACAACTTTGGTTAGACCTATATTGGAATATGGCTCTGTTGTATGGAACCCTAGCTACCAAATCCATTCTGACAAGTTAGAATCTGTTCAAAAACAATTTTTATTTTTCGCCTTAGCGCATTTCCGATGGGATAGGGTAAGTCTACCTCCAAACACTAGTCGTTTAAAACTTATTAATCTACCTACACTTTCTAGTCGTAGGGAAATGCTTGGCATAATATTCTTAGTGAAACTTTTGAATGGAACTGTTTGCAGTTCTTTTCTCCTGTCTGAAATTAAATTTAATATCCCGATTCGGTTTTCGAGGCAGTTTAGACCTTTACTGTTAAAATCCTATAGATCAAATTTTGAACTAAACGAGCCATTCCGCCGTATATGTCATGATTTTAATTCTCATTCCAGCACATTTGACTTATCTGACTCACTTTTCAAAATTAAAAAGAATTTATTGTTTTCTCTTAATAAATGAAAATATAACAATTTATTATATTGTAACTATAAATCTTAGCTGTTGAAATTTTTGTTTCTGTAGCTGAGCAGTTTTAGTAATCAACACTTAAAAAGTCTCTTGCCTTTTCTGACTCGGCTAATTCCGCACGGATGCGGTTTGCGCACCCCGCATCGGTTGGGCGGGAGGAGGGTAATCGTTGGATTATTATTATATTATATTTTCAACGAAATTAACAATTCGGCGCACCTGATCAATTGTTGAATGGTCACGAAAGCCAAATTGATGTGCTAATAGCGTAAATGTGGTCCTCAAATGATTTCCTAATAATTGGTTTAGTTTTATGGGTGCGACATGTTGTATTTCTTTATTCATATTTCTTACAGCTTTCCAGAGAGAATACTCAGTGGATTTATCAGCTGTAAGTTTAGCCAGATAAGTTGTAAATGAATAATATTTAAACTGTTTAATTTGTGTCCTTAGTTGCGCGGTATTTTATTTATTAAGCTCAGTTTTGAGAGCAGAAAACCTAGTTTTGCTGCCATCTCCGTCGAAGTTTACGCTTCTTATGGATACTTTCTAAAATATATTTTGGGTATTATTTTTGTGAAATATTCAACTTCACCCTCCAAGTCAGTACTTGTCGATAGTGTTTAAGCTTTGAGTCGACTTTAGTCAGTATACTCTTAAATTTATACCAATTAATATGTTTATTACATAACGTAGGTGTGTCAGCCGAAATTATTGGCTTTTCATACAGGGTTAGTAAGGCTGGTGAGTGGTCAGAGCTTAGGTCTGAGCAATCTTTAATAGTTAAGTTGATTTTGGGTAGTTTATTGACTATAAAGAAGTCAAGAAGGTCTTGCCTACGATCTGTAGACCAATAAGTGGGTCCTGTAGAAACAATGTTGCATACAACTGCTTATATACCTTTGAGAAGTTCTCGGCCTTTGGTTTTAGTTAAGATCCTCAATGAGTCTTGCATTAAAGTCGCCATCCATGATGTACCTTCCGTCATATTTTTTTTATTTTATTATACGTATCAAGATTTTTATATTATGTCTAAACGGACTTTACAGAGCAGTATGAAATAATGGACATTTTAACTGGTTTGTACATTTTAACTGAAATTGTTGTAGCTTGAATTTCTTCCGTTTTGATCGGATCTTCCTCGCAGTGTTCAATATTGCTTTTGATTAATATCTCGCTCCCTCCTCGTGCTGAGTTTGCTGGGTGTAGAGTGTGATATCTCTCTATTATATATAAAAGTTTTCTGCTGCTGTCGAGAATCAACTAACAAGAGCGAGCTAGCTCGCGCTCGGCGGGGGGCGGACGTAGGCGAGCGAGCGAAGCGAGCGTCCCGGAGCGCAGCGGAGGGCGCCTAGTAATTCATAATTTTTTAATTTTAAAAATGAATGGTTCGTAAAATGCGTTACGGACAACAGACATATGTATATCAATACTTCTGTCGTGTAAATTAAATTTTACTTTTGGAATGACTATTGGCGTTCTATTGCACTATTCTCAAAGAGTTATTGTTCATCAGTAAATTGTAGATGGTACCCAAGAGACTTAAATAGTTTCTCTTGCTCATTTAGTTTAATCAAAATTTGGGATAACGGACTACTTTTTTAATGTATTTGTATGATCTTGGTTAGCCATTTGCGCAAATGTAACTTCACCAGTGTTCACAACGGGTTTGTTCGTCAGAGCATTGGCATTCTCCTCAACTAAGTTAACATTCTTTTTATCTCTTTTGCAACGGCACTGTGGAATTAATTTAGATGCTTTTATAGGCTCAACTTTGATGGGTGTGAACTGGTGAATTTTCCTAATGTTTTCGGTAGTATCGAATACTAATATAAATATGTCTAGCGGTTCCTTAATCTTCCATTTAAGTTGATTAATTGCATTTAAGACATTAAAGCCTCGTAGCTAAGCCAAGGTATATTTTCATTTGACAAGAATTTTGTTATTATGCGATAGTCATTTGCATCGAAAAAGCTAAGTTTGTAGGCGCCGTTACTCAAAAGCTTGATTAAAAAGCTGTTTTTTGTCAGAGCTGTAATATTAAAATGTAAGTAATTAAAATCTTTTACATCGTTTATTATAATAGGAGGTGAACGTTGGATTTTAGTATCATTGTTGGCCGTCTGCTTTCTATTTTTATTTTTCAAAGGGCTATTAATAGTTGGGAAAATATCAGCTTTCATGTTTTTTGAAGAGCGCTTCTTTTTGAGTATCCACTAAGTTTCTTAAGCTAGTTCATCTTCATCAGTTTCATATAGTTGATCAACATTCATACTAGAGTGGTTTGCTTCAATACTCACGTTTTTGCTTTTACTTGTTTTAAGTTCTTCGTTTTCATTTTTAATGCTATGTTATCTCTGTGTAGCTTCAATTGTTATAAGCCTTTTGTTTATAAGTGAGTTAGCTGAGACTGTTTCTCGGCGTCACGTCATAAATAGATTTAGCCATTTTTATTTTCTAGTGCTTTCTCTACTGGGTATTAGCAACCTGTCGTTTGGTCGATAATGCAGTTTGAAGTAGAAGTTTTTATTTCACCAATGTGTCACAGTTGGCAATTGTTAGAACCGAACAGCTGATTGGATATATGTATCAGAAACTGTTTACGAACGTGTTTAGTACGGCTGTCTCTACCAGAAACAACTTTTTTTTCTTCTTTTATATTTTGTGAATTCACAAATGAAAAATTTCATTATGTAAACAGATTCCATGAACTACTTTCGTTACGATTATATCTGCTTGTTAAATACGCGATTCTTGCAATCTTTTTTGCCGGATTTCGGGCACTTGAGAACTAATATCACCTCCATAATCCTTGTTTTATGTTCCGCAAATTAGAACACTAGCAAAACACGTCCGTACTTGTAAGCTGTTGTAGAATGTTGTGTTGTGTTGCAGAAACTATAAAACACTGTATTTATTCCTTTTATATAATTAAAAGAAAGATATCATTAAGTATAGAAAGGACAATTAAAGTAGCTCGAAATAAATATACAGAAAGTTATCTTTAAAATAAGAAGATCATTAAAATATCAGAAATTTGATTTTTGCATAAAAGATGAAAACTACACTTTTTTTTAACAGTTTGAAAGAGATTCTTATGATATCCTCAGATATAATTATCGGACGCAGAAACAAAGTTCCTCAAAAGATTCGTTTAAATTTTCATAAAATGATATAATTATTTACATGACAGTCATCTGACCGGTCATATGACAGTCACAGCTGAAAAAATTTGTCAGCGCGCAGAACAAAGTTTCTATCATTTTCTTAAGAGCCTTGTGCAAAAACTGGTGTAAAGAATCGTATGTGTGCGAGTTTGTATCTCTATTTAACACATGGGTATTCGGAATTGATTGACTATTGTATATATCTATACTGCTCACTCTCATGCCTTTTTCTGAGTCATTGCTGACTACAAATCCATCAAAGCTGAAAGTTGTCAGTTATGACTGAAACGCTATCATAGCTGCAATTTATCAGTTATGACTATAAATCTATTACAAATGAAAAATTCTTTTGCGCAGTATGTAATACAATTTTTATCTCTTTAATAAATTCAAAACTTTTAATGAAAATTAGTTATAACAATAATAACAAAAATATAATTAAATAATAAATTATGAAAAGAATCTTTCACTTAATTCCATGCTTACTCCTCTCAACAGCACTGCGGTTCGTGTTCCCAGTTTATGAATATTTTGGAATTTAAAGAGGCCTAAATAAGAATTAAAATTAACTGAGAATATAATTTTATTTAAAACTTAATAATAATTTACGTATATTATATATGAAAACTCCTTTGTTATTTATTTACTTTTTTACCACAAAAATAGTTATTGCACAGGAGCATGCAACACTTTCGGTTTATCGCACGGAATAACAGCTACATAGCTATTTCACAACTTCTATGGAAATGTATGCTGTCTCCTTTCGACGTATACAGAATTTGGTTTTGGAAAAATTGTAAACATTGACAGTCATTTTACAGTACTGACATAATAAATTTGAGTGTATTGGTGAACCCATCAGCAGTTTCTTGTAGGGGTGTCGAACTTGTTTGAAGCTTCAGTAGCTGAGCCAACTTAGTTTTACCTTTTTCCTGTTACACATTTCTATTGTCACATATATTTTGAATATACGCAAAATAATTTTAAGTTTCATCAACTGGTATTCACTTTTTGTGAGCAATGGAATCAAAAGAGAGCTGGGGGACTATTCTGTAATGCGATTAGAAAATTGTTTGTGTTCACTATAATGCGACTTTCGCATACAAATTTTCGGTTTTCGCATTTCTTTTTTCTCCTATCGCATTCGGGGTACTCTGTAATTTGAATTAGCTGTCAAACGGATGCGATATTCGCATATTTCTTGCTAAACTCCGCAGGCTGACGCATAAAAAAGTGTTAGTTTAAAACGAAAAATACATTAATTTAATTAATGATTTGTTATGATAATTATAGGGATAATAAACAAGGCAAGCAAACAAACCAGAAGCGATTCGAAATATTGGTGGATTTAATGAGAAGTCACACACATTTATCCAAAGGGCTTTTCGAGACGGCGGACGCTAAGACCACTTCCATTAATCTATGCAAAAATTTCGACGTAAAGGTACTGGTCCACATTTTTTTTTACAAATATACTTATAGCTTTCATTTAAAACGCACTTAAAGGCAAAAATGCGTCGTTATAAGTACAGCATTTCGGGAACTGGTGGTGGTCCCTCGAATTACTGCTCATTGACGGATTTGGAACAACAAGTGTGCGATTTTTTGTCCATGAATATCAAATACTTTAAGTTTCTGCGTTCAACAAACAGCATCGAGTGTATCGACTGGATTTCAAATTAGGCTTGTTAGTAAAAAAAGCTGTAAATGAAAAAGAGAGAAATGAGCTGCCTTATTGCTCATATGTAAGTACTCCACGTAGGAAGCGATTACTTTTGGAAAAACAAGTGGATAATCAAATGGCATACCAAGAAAATTCAGCCGAAGTATTAAAAGAAATAATTTACAATTTAAAAAATATATTTAAAAATATGAAAAAAGTAAAAAAATTTAAAAAATAAACTGAAGTTGACAATGGAGAAATTTCTCCACAAACAAAAAAATGGACAGTGAAAAATTAAATTAAGTGTTAGTTTATTAGAAATAAATAAAAGAAACATTAAATTTGGAATTCGGGATGTGTTATAAATTTAAAATAATGTAAAGTATGTACGAAACATTCTTTTAGCTATTTTTTTAATCATTACCTACTGAAAGTATTAGTTTTATGTGAAAGATAAATAATAGTATTAATGATGCGTTTATTTTTTAAAGACTGTATTACCTGAATTTCTTTGTGCTTAGATACATATGTACTTATGTATAAAAATATGATTAATGTATAAAAATATAATTAAAAATTACTGAAGTTATTTTATTTTAATAAATAATTTATAAAAATATATTATTTTTCGCTACACGGAATATCTAATACTGATAAAATAATTTTTTATTTGATTTATAATTCTTTTAGCAGTCTTTACAAGATATATTTTTTCATAGTTGTCCGTATCAACTGTTACAGTTTCTGCTGGTACAATAACAATCTCGGAAGGTTGCTCCACATTATATAAAATACAAATGTTGTGCAGAACACAGCATGCGTTCACTATTTTTACCACTTTAGCTAGTTATTCTACCACTTAGCTTTCCTGCAGCTAACAGACATCGAAACCGTTTCTTTAATACGTCAAACACTCGTTTTATTATCGATCTTCCTTTCAAAAATTTTTGGTTTGAAAAATAAGTCGTCAGAGTTGTCCGCTGAATTTCTATAAGGTGTTAATAGCCCTGGCTCAAGGGAATATCCAGAGTCTCCTATTGTAATAAAGAACAAAAATTGTTATTAAAAAAACGCATACATATCTATATTTCACAAGTATAAAGGGCTTACCAAGGATTCATTTTTAAATATTCCCGTTCTTTTGAAAGATTGCAAACGTGTAAATCATGGGATGCACCTCTAAATCTCCTATAAACAGCCCTAATTATTATTCGATGACCGCAAACCTTAATAGAAAGTACAAGATATAAAAAAAACCGTATTAAATTAAACTTCGTCTTACCACCAAAGCGTTTATGCTATGCTTTAACTTCCGGTTGAAAAAGAAATATTCGTCCATTTACGGTCTAATTATTTGGATGTGTGTGCCATCTACTGCACCAATTATTTCTGGAATACCACACATTTGGTAGAAGTTCAGTTAGCATCAACCTTTTCTTCGGTTGTCAGTTGAAATTATATGTGTTTTGATCATAAAACATTTTCATTCGCGTTGCAAACTTCTATAATGCAACTTGAAATAGTTTGTTGTGCCAGTCCTAAATGTAAATCTTGCCCAATTAAATGTTGATAACTGCCTTGTGCAAAAAACTTTAAGGTGGCTGCAAGTTTTAAAATTTGAGCTACGCCGGTAGATCTACGAGGGACTTTTAATTTATCATCTTAGGCATCTTGTATTATACGTACATAAATGCGTCTTTACTGAAAAAAACAAGTAAAATCGTTAAGATCCTCCAGAGCCTTGAGGTTTTGAGATTGTGTAATTACTAGAAGAAAACTGGCTAAGGTCCTCAGAGTGAGCCGAAAAAGCATCCGAAACATTATTAATAAAAATTTGAGAATAAAGGCTTATAAAAAAACCAATTAATGGTCTAACGGAACGACATAAGCAAATGAAAAGGGAAAGAAATGATTGGCTCCTTCGGGGGCCCGCAAATTGTGAGATTGTGTTTTCAAAAATTAACTCAAAATATTATTTGGAGGAAGTGCTTGTTGGAAACTTCTTTGCTCATGTATTCAGTCTGTTTGACAATAATCCATTCTGCTTTCAACAAGATTCTGCCCCGGCTCATGAAGCAAGAATTGTTCAGCGGTGGTGCAAAGACAATATGCCCTGTTTCATTTAAGCCGATGAATGCCCTTCTTCTTCTCTGGATTTGGATCTTTTGGAGTTTTGTATATGGGATATATCCCTAGAGAAAAAATAAAACTGGACCAGAAATTGGGACGAAATTCAAGAAGAAGTTGAGAGTGCCGCCTGTACTCGTGATCTGGAGAATCTCCTCTATCCAACCATACCCCTCTTAACCCTGAAATCGTGGGATGCTAAACTTAAGTTTTCCCCATAATTTTTGCGTGATCATCATGGTGGATTTCCTTAGGCTAATAATTTTTCAATTTTGAAATATCATTAACAAAGAGACTATGGGAACTGCAATCATTTCAGATTAGTGAAGTGAAAGGAATAACAAAATCATAAGAAGTCGCGATAAATTTCCAAAATCAACTAGACAACGAATTCGTAGTTGCCAGAATGTTCTAGTAGCGAAATTTTGTTAAAGATCTACTATATAAGGGGTATGCGATGATGTAGCAGACAAAGTACTAGTTAGAGTGTTGCGGTGTAAAGGGCAATTGTAGTAAAGCGTTAAGTTGTTTGGATTAGAAATAAAGATCACTGTATAGCGATTAAATTGGGACCTTTATTTAACAATCTCGCGATCGAACTCAAGAACGTGTTACAAGGTAGACGATTTATCGAGCAATCCATTACAATATGTTTATATCTTTTTAGACGGATTTTCGTCACAATTGACAGATTTTATTTTTATTTTAAATTACAACTAGAGAACGTTTATCATAGAGAAGGTTCAATTACCTCAAACCTGGTAAGATTCTAGTAGTGGATTTCACCACAGCTAGCTCGGAAAGAATTATGCTCAGAAACTTGCTTTGATATTACAGCTGCCTGTTAGCCTTTTGACTTATATTTAAATACGCTTATATGCAATCATATTTTTTTATATGAATATCATTTTGCGAATTTGAATGCATGCAAAACTGATAAGACTAAATAAATTATGGAATTTCAAAATAATATTTATAGTCAATTTGGGCATTTAATAATTAGTATTATAGTTTTTACATAATATACATTCCTAATAAATATTTTGTATTATAATTCTTACTAATAGAGATTAATTTTATTACAACATACATATATGTACATATGTACATTTTTTATCATATTAATCTTATATAGTTATATATAGCAATTAAGCTATAAGCAAGGAGGTGTAAACACGAATATCGAGCAATAAGTGTTTAGTTTTTGGAATTAGAAATAAAGATAATGCTATACACATTGAATTGGGACTTTTATTTAACAATTTAGTGATCGAACTCAAGAGTTGAAAGAGTCAAGATGTTGAAATTTATGTTTCGAATATTTCTTCTATAAATTGTAGTTTACGCAACAAAACATAAAACATTGGCGTTTGTTGTTGTTGTTGTAACGGTTACCTAGTCCCCGTTTGCGTGATAAATTCCAGATTCGTTGTCGTCGAGGTCATCTAACGGGAGGCCCAGGAAACGAGCTGTTTCGACAGGGTCGAACCATAGGGAGAAGGGTGTTAGATGAGTGGGGTTTGTTGGGCATGCAAAGAGGTGGTTAGTGTCATGCGGAGACTCATTGCACGCAGGACATGTGTTTGGTATGTCGGACGATATTCTGGATAAGTAGGAGTTTAACCTGCTACAGTATCCAGAACGAAGTTGCGCGAGGGTCACTCTGGTTTCGCGAGGCAACTGGAGCTCGACGCCTGCTATGGGTGTTGGTTTGACTCGTAATACGCCATTCACTGAGAGGGAGTCGGTGAAGGTGTTGATGGCTCCACTGTGAATGGCGGTCAGTGCCTGTCTGAAGTTCGTAGCGTCTGAAGTCCGGTCGGCGTATTGTCTAATGTCGTCGACGTAATCAAGGAAAGACCTCTTGATGTTCCTAGGAGGCGGCTCCGCTACAAGCAGGCGACTATAGGGGTGGTTTCTACGAAAACACCCCAGCAGAAACTGCTTGGAGACGAGTTCGTTGTGTTCCTTAACCGGAAGCATACGGGCCGTGATAGTCCGGAGTGCAGTGTTCTGACAGGTCTGAAGCTTCTTCTTCTGCGTGTCACTGCATCCAGGCGACCATATTGGGGCTGCATAATTTAGGACCGGCTGGCCGATTGCCTTGTATGTTGCCAACAACGTTTTTTTGTCTTTTCCCCAAGAGCTGCCGGCAAGCGACTTGAGGATTTTGTTGCGGCTCTGTACTTTGGCAGTTATCGCGGTCGTGTGAAGAGTGAAAGAGCACAGACTGTCCAATGTGACGCCTAAAATTTTAGGGTTATTTACTGTCGGAATGTTCGACTGAAATGTTCAGGTCCAGTCTGTACTCCTTCGTCCAATTTGTGAATATGGTCGCTGTGGA